GAGAGAGAGAGAGAGAGAGAGAGAGAAAGAGAAAAAGAGAGAGAGACAGACAGGCAGACAGACAGACAGACAGACAGACAGACAGACAGACAGACAGAGAGAGAGAGAGAGTGTGATAGAGAGAAGACCTACCTTGTTGCGAAGGTAAATGAGCGCTCAACAGTAATGATGTGGAACTCGTTTTCATAAGCTTCTAGTGCTGGCTTTACCACCTGTCACCATCACCAAGTACAAACTCTGTCAACATCCTCTAGTGACCAGGCTATCTTAGTTACTACTAGAATTTCCATTGACTACACCCATGAGTGAATGATCACTTACGATTCTCATTCAAACAATTCAACAAATTTACTAAGCAATCACCAATCATGACATAGCTTTCCTCATATGTATATATAACACATGGGAAACATACCTTCATGCCTGACAGAGGTAGAATAGCACTCAGTCTGTACATGGTGTTAGGCAGAGGAACAGCATACAGAAGGACATCATTCAGCTGTAAATGAGAAATACTAACGTTGTCACCAATTTATCACTCAGTCAGTCAAGTCAGGCAACTCAATAGTGTCACGCTCACATGACTGCGTCACATAAAATTAAAAATGATGATGAAGCTCATAGTAGTATTCTACAGGAGTCAGACGAACGTTATACTAGATAGTATTGGCAAAAATAGATCTCAATTGTCTTACCAGAAACAGATTTCTCATCTGGGGTTCCTTACGGGAAATGTTCAGAACCTCGCCCTGCTTAAGAAGAACCCTGCCTGGTTTTACAATGATCCTTCCCCCTAGTAGACGCTCCTGCAGTTGGAACAGTTTCTCAAATTTTTCCTGCAATGCAAAAAAACATCATTACACCCGAGACGAAATAATTTCTAGTCAAGATACAGGAATTATGAATAAATTATAAAGATATCAAGATTTCAATAAATAAATGAATAATAAATAATATCAGAAGTAGATAAGATCCCTATTAATATATCCCTGGTAATATTAAATACTAATAAATAATAAATATATGATTTAATTATGTTAGGATAGCAAACTATTATTATATGTATTTTTATAGAAAATTATTCCTAGACAGGATACAAGAATGAAGAATAATTAAATAAGGAAGACATCAAGAGAGCAAACTATTATTATATGTATTTTTATAGAAAATTATTCCTAGACAGGATACAAGAATGAAGAATAATTAAATAAGGAAGACATCAAGAGAGCAAACTATTATTATATGTATTTTTATGTAAAAAAGGAAATTAAATGATATTTAGTAGTCATAGTTATAGTCCGCCAAGGCCAATCCACGGATTCTTTAAATTGACTATGTCACGTATTTTCTATGGCAAAATTTGTATTGCCATTTTTTTTACATTAAAAGTAAGAACTAACGGGACTAAACGTATCGTCAAATTCTTACCTGATAAGATTGTTTCTCAACTAGTTAAAAATCCAAAAAACCTGGACAATTTCATATTAGTGTTCCTAACATTAATTGCTTGCTATGGGCTATGTATGAGTCACGAGTGTATGTTCACATCAAACAATATAGTAAAATAAGAAGTATAATGCAGCAATTTAACCATAAAAAGTGAACAGAATTACTTGTATTTTGTATTTTTTTTTTTTTTACTATTTAAGGTGACGTAATCACTTTAAGATTGCACAACGAGGACGAGAGGTTTACGTAGGTGTGGTTAAGTAACTGCTCGGCGATAACTGCAAGGAATACCGACTAATGGCAATGCATGTAAGCTGTACCTCCTTCTTGATAGTCTCATTCGCATGGCTGGCAACGTCAGTGACAATCTGGAGAGCCACTGGAAGGTGTAGAGAAAGGCAATTTAGTAACAGTGACTCGCATGCTAACTAGAAACCACAGTAAAAACTAGGCTCAAAGGTAAAAACCAGGCTCATTTATAACTAAGTAACGTCCACTTTGCAGGTCTGTATATAACCGCCAATGATAACTAATGAATGAATGCATGAATAAAAAAAAAAAATGTTTGACTGACCGACTGGCTGGACTGCCTGCCTGCTTGCCTGCCTGCCTGCCTACCTCCATACCTACCAACCTATCTGCCTGCTTGCATACCTACCAACCCATCTGCCTGCCTGCATACCTATACCTACTTACGTGCCTACCTACCTCCTTGTCCCTTCTCTGCTTGCCTACCTACCTACCTCCTTGTCCCTTCTCTGCCTGTCTGTCTATCATTCCGTCTGTCTGTCCATCCGTCCGTCCGCCTATTCGCCTGCCCTCTCGCCCACCCACAAAATTACTTACACTATTAATCCGTATATTAAATTGACTACGTCACGAATTTTCTGTGGTGTATATTTGTGAAATCTTTCTTGCCATTTTTTTACATTAAAAGTAAGTATACTAACGGGACTAAATGTATCGTCAAATTCTTACCTGATAAGATTGTTTCTCAACTAGTTAAAAAATCCAAAAAACCTGGACGATTTGATATTATGATCCTGACATTAATTGCTTGCTATGGGCCATGTACGAGTCATGAGTGTATGCTTACATCGAACAATATAGTAAAATAGGAAGTATAGCAAAAATTTAACCATAAAAAGTGAACAGAATTACTTAATTCCATTTTGTGAAAAAGTGGAAATCTTTTTTTACTTTTACTATTTACGGTGACGTAATAACTGTAAGAGATAAGGTGAAGCAACTTACAGCGGGTGTCCTTCTTATCGGGCGACCTGTCAGGGAGATACTTCAGGTAGTCCTGCAGCAGCAACCTGTACTGTGGGATTCGCTGCACAGGCTTCAGCATGTAGTGTTTCAGCGCCAGGTTGCAACATAGCGAGCTCATCTGTCAGAGCAACAACGTGACATGTGTCAACACACGTGACCTTGAGCGGCGGCGCACGCTATGTGACGCACGTGACAAAACGAGGAGGGGCTAGTTAGCACACGTGCCAGCGTCACAATGCGATTCCAAGCAAGCGGCGGTTTGGATTTTGGTCAGGGCGCCAAAATTTCACATCGGTATACTTCACGAAGAACCAGAAAGTATAATACGAAACTATAACAAAATGAATTTTTTTACTGAGGAAAAAATGCCAGAATTAGTTACTCATAGCATTGCATACCTCAAATTCTTTGACAGCCTTGGCGAAGGCTGGGTATTTCTTGCACGCATCATCTAACCCTTGTGTCATCTGAGCGAAATCTTTGATGTAAGAAGCATGCAGCTTAAGGAAGGGTCCAAACTTGACAAAAACGTCAGCTATCTGTGGCCTTTTGTCCCTGAAGCACACATGTACAAGCTTAGTCAATAACGCTGCACACAGCACCAATGAATGTTATTATGTAAGAATAGTAGAGCCTATCTCTATAATATCCCCAAGAAAGAGAGAGACAGAGAGAGAGAGAGAAAGAGAGAGAGAGAGAGAGAGAGAGAGAGAGAGAGAGAGAGAGAGAGAGAGAGAGAGAGAGAGAATGTGTGTGTGTGTGTGTAAATTGTAATAATAAGTATGCCAAATAGTTCTTATTGAGGCTGAGCATGGTAAGTTTTATGTTTATATTTGAATCCTGTCTTGCTTATACCAACTTGCAGTAGACGTCACGTATATGTGTGTTAGCAGGGTATTCATACTAAGGTGTGGATTTCTGTTTGTATGTGGACACCTGACTACATGCAACCTATGTGCTAGAAGATTACGCTTCCAGTCAATTACGGGTTTGACACATGAAAAGGTGTGCAAATAAAAGTAGTTAACACAATAGTGACCCATAATAATGAGCGACCTTCATAGTCTGCCTACTTCTCCCTTGGCCGTTAGTATCGAAGTGGACAAATTTGTTTTCTTTGTTTCTTTCTTCTTGTTGTATCTCTCTCTCTCTTCGTCATTGTCAATTATTTAGTCTGACAAACGAACGTTGGTACTGCAGGGGAGGGGACGGGAGAGAGACAGAGAGAGAGAGAGAGATAGAGAGAGCGAGAGAGAGAGACACAGGGAGAGAGAGAGAGAGAGAGAGAGAGAGAGAGAGTCAGAGACACAGGGAGAGACAGAGACAGAGTCAGAGGGAGAGACAGAAACAGAGGGCGAGAGAGATGGAGAGACAGAGGGCGAGGGCGAGGGCGAGGGTGAGGGAGAGGGAGAGGGAGACGGGTATATATATATATTATACAATGTATATTCCTACCACCTCCAGTATGCATAACCACTAGCTTGGCAATTACAAACTGGAATCACATAGGGGTGTTTTATGATCAGTAATTACCGGTCATATAACTATAGGCATTAATTACCATTTTAAATTTTAATATTATAATATACAGGGACAATGCAAAGATTTTTTTTGTGAATTCAGACATGGTGGTATTACACAATAAATTAATTCTTACTATACATCTTGATATTTAATATGTACATAGTGATAGTATTTATTGGTTCTCAGCCAACACTCATGACCGGTATACACTACCCTTATGCACACAAACAGTAACTATCCCAAGCAAGTTTCCGTAGTGTAGTGGTTATCACGTGCGCCTCACACGCGCAAGGTCCCCGGTTCGATCCCGGGCGGAAACAACTATCTTTTATTCCTTTTATTATTTCACTGCCATTTAAATTCTCTACGCACAACATAACAATTACTCGAAATATAGAATTATCGTTAATATTTACAGCACCAATACGAACTCTTCTCTTACTTCTCACACAGATTGTAAATTATCTCCCTGGTAACCCAATCCCATCCCTGGCATCCTATTTCCTGCATAGAACCCACTTCTCCTCACTGTATTTTATGGTTGATAGCCATAATTTGTTCAAAACTGCTGCTATGACCCTGCTCGAAAACCCATTCACCTTCCCGATACCCCCCCCCCTGCTCACCAGGTGGCGATGCGAGCGGCAAGATCGTCGGCCAGCCCCGAGTTGAGGTTCTGTAGTTGGGGGAGGTGCATCAGCACCTGGCTGAGCGTCTCCTCTGGCACTACTGGCTTACCCTTCTCCCTGCCTGCAGCCAGCACTGCTCCACGAAAGTCCTACAAGCAAGAAGGAAGTACCATCATCCGCTACCCTTAAGCTGGTGCACTCTTAATGCAAAATAAACTTGAAATGAACTTCCTCTGAACTGACCAACACGAGATGTGCGCAAGTTGGTTAGTTTTGACCGATTAGGTGGGGGCGATTAAATTACACACTAAGCAGTGGCCAAGACACATCAACACAGTTTCGTCCATCCACACATACCACGTACGTTATAGACACACTCTCACAATGCCCGATATAGTATGTGCTCTTTGCCAACCATGTTAAACTTTAATGCCAACTAATTTTATTATTTTCAATGTGAGGACATGGCACATGATTTCTCCCTGCCCATGAGCGATGTCACTGCGTTCTTCACTCTTACCTCATTGAGCAGTCTTAGTACATCAACAAACGTTCTCTCTGACGTCGCCATCTCCTGAGCGATGTAGAAAGTTCGCTTTTCCTTCTGCCTGTTCGCCTGCAGAGCAACCCACGATTACACGCGGCTGTGATTTGATGCACCAGTGCATTCACGCGTGCGTACTCCGTTCGCTTTTATAACAGCATCGACTTTCACTTTCCGCACTCAGCAACTTAGAAAATGTAAACTTAGAAGATATTTTTAGCACCAATCTTATCATCACCGAATGAACGCCGTTATCTGAATGATAACAGCATACTTGTAGCCACTGCAGGTCCCATAAGCACACATTCATGTTTGTTTTCCGTCAAGAGGTTAGGTGTGCGTAGCATGAATAAGACATATCGGAAAGTCCCCGCCGCCATATTAAGATCAGATAAGAGGGTGTATTTAGTTGCCTATATATAACATAGTAAAGATAGTACTAGACTAGGTTTTTGATCTATAATTCTCTTCACTAACATCGTACTTCAATTCAGAGGTGCGTTTCTGTTTACAGAAACCTTTACGAATATATAATAAATATTAATAATATAAATATATAAATATTATAAATATTACGAATAACACAATGTTTGTGTTAATGCAAAAACTAAAAACGCATGAGTGCTTACATTAATCATGTACTTTCCCAAGTGCGTCTCGGCCATTTTATACCCCCTTTTTCTGAAGACCTAAATAAAACAGCTGGACTTTCTGATATATCCCTTATACCAGTGAAGAAGCTGGCTGCTGTGCACTCACCTAACTTTACGCGCAGGGGCGGACTGGCCCCTCGGGCAAATCGGGCAATGCCCGAGGGCCCAGAGGGCCATTTTTATATTTAAATTTTTTATATTTTCAGTTTTTCTTCTTAATCGGTCGGTCTGAAAAATATTGTGCCCCAAATCCGAGGACTTTTTCCAATCCATAGGGGATGAGGGTTCCACCAAGATTTCCACCTTTATGATATTGCAGGCCTTTTGAGTTTCACAAAGTCCGGACCCCCGACCGCGGTCAGTGGACCGAGGCCCAATCACAGGTATTGCACGAGGGCCCACAAGGTGCCAGTCCGCCCCTGTCTACGAGCATAGTACATACCTGCTCATCGTCAAGTTCATCCGCGCTCTCTTCAGAGCTGGAGTCGGACGGTCTCTCGGCAAATGCGGCCTCATCACAATCCATGTAAATCATGTCCTCGTTCTTTAGAGATGGCAGATGTATGTGCGGTGGAAGGCTGCAAAGAACGACATCAGTCGTTTAGCACGCAGATGCGTAAGAACACTGCCTCCGGACTTGGACACGCATGCTAGTTGTACGTAACGTCACATTGAAAGTTGCAAAAAGATTCGTGCGATTACCAGAAACAGACGTGTGTGCATCTAGTCGAGAAACAATTGCTGAATAATGTTGTAAGAACAACAGAAGTTTCTGCTCTGCAATTCTACTACTAGCACTTCACTAATACTATAAAAATCGTACGCGAATGAGGTCAAATCACCAGTTACTGGCAAACTCACATAAGTAAATAAACCACGTATCTATATAGGTGAGACAGTAAACACAAGACAGTAAATTGACAAAAGTTGATTACACTTACAGGCTAAATTATGATGTTGGAAGCAATTAGAAAACGAGAAGGTAGTCGTATATTTAGAGGCACATAGCATTTCAGTTTCAGAGAAATCAAATAATCATAGCATGCAACAGATATATCACAAGTTCATGCCTTCAAAAGAAATGAGTAAAATATGCTTGCAGAATTTCGATACACAAGACAAGTAATAGCTTCCAGTACTTATTCTAGAATATAACAGTGCAAAAGTAGTTATTACACATAACCTTGAATAAAAAATTGCTGCAAATATTAAAATTAAAATTAACATCTACCTAACATATCAATACAATGCATTGAAATATTAGTGATAAAGACGTCATAGTTTTACTGGCACTACTAAAGAATCATCAACACTAGCGTTCTAAGTTTTCTTTATATAATATTAATATCATCATTATTAATATTATATATTACTGTAACATAATGACAGTGACTGGTTCTCATGCTTGGAAAAGTTTGTGTACAGCATGCAGAATTCCCAGTGAGCTGCGCATTACCTAGCTGTGCCTGGACCCAGGTCTCTGCAAATCTCGATGTCATCCTTCGTCACGCGGGAAATCGGAAGGCTCTTGCTCTTGTCGAGAACATCGTGCATAATGCCGTCTACGGCACCCTTCTTGCTTCTCGCGGGTGGCAACGGTGGAGGAATCGCACCCACTGTCGTCGCGTAAGTCGTTGCCGGTGCCAGGCAGAACAGATTGCGAATGAAGTTCGAATCCTTCGACTTGTCGGTCGTCGGGCAGAGTGCGCTCACATCGATGCCGCTGTCCGACTTGCAGCTGTCGGCCTTCCCCGTGTCTGCGCTGCTATCGTTGATGCTGCTGTAGTACTGGTCGTGGTTCGGCGACGGTCCGCTGCCGCCGGCGTCCCCGCTAGTCGAGCTCGAGTCCGATGGCATCTGCCCGTGCTCAATGTACCAGTAGAAGTGGTCGTCCGGCGCTTGATGCTCGTTCGGGGGCGGGGGCGCCGGCGGGCGGCGCGACGGCAACGTCTTTGCGCTCTTGAACGCGTCGCGCGGGAGCTCTGCAGCTTCCTGCTCGCCGTCCTCAGGTTTCTCCCCAGCTCCCTTCCCCCATATGGAGAATATCGACTTCCAGCCCATCATACCCGAACACGAGTTGGCCTTCTTCATCTTCAACACCTTCTCCCTGTCGCCGTCGCCGTCACCGGCGCCATCTAGGATGTCCTCTGCCTCGTGCGACCTGCCGGTAAGGAATTCCAGAGAGCGCGGATTCTCCTCCGGCCAGTCGTTGCCCGCAGCGACCTGCTCTCCCGCTAGGGTCATTCCCAGTGAGCCTTCGATCGTCGCCAGCAGGGACTCCTCACGTTTGCCGGACTTGGGCGGCAGCGGCGGCGCCGAGTCGGGATGTGGGACCGACGACGACGACGCCCGCTTATCCACCGGCGTCGCCGACAGCGTGGCGCTCTTCGACGACAACTTCCTCTCAGCCGCCGAGTGACTCGGACCGAGCGTTGCAGACTTCTGCTGCGGCCCGTGCCGCGGCGGCACTGAAGGTGGCGCCGGCATCGAGTCGAGCGACCGCTCCCGGGGCTTCGTCCGCTCGCCGCCGCCGCCCCCTAGCTTCGCCTGCCGCATGGTGATGCAGTCGCTGCTCTTCTGGCGCGTGCTGCGGAACATGGACGCCTCGCCGTGCGAACCCTCATTCTGCAGCGACTCACTGCTCGTCTGCTTTGCGTGAAGCCACGATGGCTTCTCGCTAGATGGCGCTGTCCGTGCGGCGGCGTTGCCCGTGCCGGAGGTCGTCGTCGCGCGCGGCTTTGACGTGCTCGCCGCCATCTTTGAGTCGCCGGCCTGCGAGAAACCCTTCTCGCTTCTGCTGCTGTTCTCTCCTGCGTCAAGCGACCGGCCAACGCTTGCGAGCAACCCTTTTTTTGTCTTGGCATCCTGCTTCGCATGTTTCGCTTCAGGCGTCGACGGTCGACTGAGCCAAGCCCGCGCCATGGGACCACGGGCATCTCGTTTTGGGGAGCCCTGCGTGCTCACAGACATTAAAGAACCCGCCTCTGACTTAGCGGGAGTTTTCGTCGCAGTATTGGCACTCGCAAGAGGCTTTTGTTGTGCTGGAGTCACTCTGGTGGTGGTGGTTTTTGAAGCAGATGCTGCGGCTTTACTCCCCTGCTTCGCTGATATGTTGGCGCATGCTTTCGGTTCTTTTTTTGGCAATGCGGATGCTTTTGCATCCTTGCTGACGTCCTTCAGGACGGCGCCTGTCTTACCTGCATTCTCCTGCTTTCTGGCACGCGATCCTGAACTTTCAAAGTTCTTCCGTAGGTCACTAACGGAAGCGATCGACATCCTTGGACTCGGCTTTGCGTCGTTGGTCTCGCCGACTGGAGACTGCGAGCGAGATTTCACGAGAGAATGAGCAGGAGAGACGGGACGAGCGTTAGACTTCGAGACATCGCACGGTGGCGGCGGATTCTTCTTTATCACGGCACCGCCAAATCTTTTCGCAGGCTCTGTTGGCGAGGTCTTCTTAGGTAGAGCAGTCGTGGGGGGCCTCGAGTCGTGCGTCGTTTTCAGTTCGGCCGGCTCGAACTTGGTGGCATCTGCGCTGAGTTTTTCGATAGTACTGCGAATCAGAGCAGACTGTCGCCTCACACTGTGGTCTGTCTTGTTACTGGCAGCTGCGATAACTGCAGCACTGGCTGCGGCCGCCCTGCTGCTGCGTCTACTGGCTTCACCTAGCTCTTTTGGGACGCTAGTGTTTGACAACCTACCTGCGGTTACTGCGTTGCTACTCAGGCTCAGTGTCTTTTCCTGCTTGTGACTAGTTTGATCACAACTCACGGTGGAAGTCATCACCCTGGCGCTGAACTTTGGACTAGTGGATATGGCTCCCGTAGTGGACGACTGTGACTTATCACTCCGCACACTGGAGTGAGTCTTATTTGCATTGTTGTTGTTGCTTCCTAGCAGGCTGGCAGCTACCTTAGGACTAGATATGACATCGCTCTGGAGACACACACTTCCTACGGAAGCATGGGAGATGTCACTTTTGTGGGAGGCTGTGGGTGGCTTTGGAGGGGCTGCTTTAGGTCTTGCCATTGCTTTGCCACCACTGCTAAAAAAAATAACAAAATATTAGTCAAAAAAGTTAGCTACATGACCTAGCATAGACAGTCGTATATATACCCCTTTCTCTAGAAAGTTGTTAACAAGCTGTTCCCTGTCATTTGTATTTGTTATTGAAACCTCAATTTATGCAGAAGCACCAGAGACCCAAAGCATATATCACACTGAGTAGTATTACTGTAGTAATCACCAATCTAAAATAAGCTTCAACCTTCTTAGCCTAGCTCTAAAAAAAGCACGAGTGTGTAGCAGCGTGGGAGGCCACACGCTCATCCACGGTGCGTAATAACATTCGACCTAAACATTCCAGTCACCGAAGCTCTTACTGAATGGCAGGATGCAGGAAACTAGATCCATAGAAAACATGGCGTGTGGGTATGCAACGTTTCTGTGTTTGCTTGTGTTTTGGTTGCCCCACACCGCACAGCCACTTGCTGCATCACGCAGTACATTGATCAGAGATACAACGTAAAATAAAAGCGTTCGCTAGTATAAGCTGATCTACATGCAGAGAAGCCATCAACACGCCACCATGAGTGAGCCCGCATGGATCCTATTATAAGATACAAGGCACATTTGGTTCCATTTAGTAAAAACTCGAATGCATTAAGTATTGTGTTGACACCTAGGTTTCACCACTCTAACTGGTTACTAAAGACTTGCATGTTGCAAAAACATTATCATAAAAAAGTCTATAGTTTAGATTAACCTAACTAGCTATAATAAGCAAGCTGATCATACAAGTGTATGTAGATGCTTCATTTCTGTTCATATGCATCTGCTCTACGTTGTTTTTTAATACATGGAGTTTTCTAACACCCACCAAATGTATGCATCCCCCATCCTTATTGAAGTTAAACATTTACGAGTCCAATGTACACAAGTCCAGCCGTGTATTATGCAAGCACAGCATGCCATGTTTAGTTAGGCATGAGAACGCTTGTCGTAAATCATTGACAGCTGTACATGTCACACGTGGACTTTACAGCTCACCAGCCTCTCTAGGGCCTGGCTTTTTTTAGCTTGGTTCCACACATTGACTCTGCATAGATCTGTATCCAGATCTTTTTCTATTCTCCTTCTTCCTCGGTCTGTCAGTGTCTGTCTGTCTATCTCTCTGCCTGCCTGCCGGGCTGCCTGCCTGTCAGTCCCGCCGGCTGGATTTCCCTCGCTCTCTTTCCCACCCCTGATTCTATTGCAACCATGGGGTAGTACAGACTACCACAATGTCCCTACTGGTCAATACATTTTATGCGAAACAAGCAAAATGCAATCACATGCCTGGCAGCCCTCATATAAAAGCACATAATTTGCACTGCGTAACAGATCCCGTCCACATCTTTGAGTACATTGGGCTTACATTATTCTATTATTTTCACTTTCTTTTAACTCTGCAAGTTTGAGATGACACTCACTCTAATATTGTGAGAACAGACTGATAACTTCATTAAAAAAACATTTGCATAATTTATACCAAGAAAATTGCAGGTTCTTTTTTGTGGTTACGGAAAGTTTTCCTTCCGTATAATCTCAGATCATGATCTCAACCTAGCTCGATACGGCCTTTCACTAATCCCTCCAACACCGACTTTTGCTAATCGATCCAAACACAGCCACAAAACAGGAGCAGGTGGGCTGCGTGTACAAAAGTTACAGGGGGGTACGCCAGCAGTAGATGGGTCCACGCATGCACTGAGTCAGCTTCCCACTCACTCAAAATCGGCAGTCAAATTTCCTGTCAGTGCAGCTGGCTGCGGTCTGAACAGCAGTCATTATATAGCCAAGCGCGCGCGGCTGACAATCATTAGTGAGTCACAGCTACATTTCCCCCATCATCCTATATAGCCTGTGCTAGAGCATGAGTGCCAGGACTGCACTGTACACAGATTGCCCTCCGTGTACACACCACAGCGCACTAAAAATATGCTTTGAACAGTATAATAACTTTCGATTCGTATTAATTAATACTAACTATATTAGAAGGTGGGACGATACGGGTAATACACGATACGATCCGTATCAGGTTACATCTTTTACGATATGATACGTATTGCGATACTTTTGAGGAAAACTACCTAGAAGCTATACACTCTACCCGTACGCTACCAATCGTGTGAATGCTTACAAAGCAGTATCGTGGAGCTCTTAGCAAACAGCTGGTAGGTATTGAATGTACTCCAAATTGTGTGATGCTTCTTATGAATGAAACTATGATGACTATGATTTCTGATGAAACTATGCCACCGAGTCAAAGGTATCAAATACATACATCGTCGATGTTTGTATCGCGATACATCAATATATATCAAGAGTACATAATAGAGAATAATCTCTATTATGTACTCTTGATATATATATATATATATCACTGAATTGTCCACCTTTAATATGTACATGTATGCTATCAGAAGTAGATAATAGGGAAAAAATAAGTAGTTCCCTATTATCTACTTCTGATGCTATATGTTACTAGTACAGCCCATGTACAGCCCATTGAGTCTGTGTGCCAATTGATATGAATTATGTCAGCAAACATCATAGAGCATATATAATTTGACCACAGGGTTGGACCTTTAACCTATACATTTTGGATGTAATATTATTCAAATGAAATGATTGCCTTTCTGGTACAAGGCCACGAAGATTGTCTACAGGGCCATCTCTTACTAGTGTGCCACCTTCGTATAGCAGGGGTCGAAATAAGCGATGGTCCAATCTCCGATGATCCGGGGCCATCAGATTTTTTAAAGTCAATGGTCGGACGGACCATTGCATATTTTGGTCCCATTTTACGGTATATTTCATGCACGCCGCATTACATTTAGAGAACAATTTGAAATTTAGGAGGACCATCTAAAATTTAGGAGGACCATCTAAATTTCAAACTAGATGGTTCTGTGGACCATCTCTTTTTTTCTCCTTATTTCTACCCCTGTATAGTCACTGTCTGATACAAACTCGTTTATTTTAAATGTGTTAATGTTACGTTGGTGATACTCATATCCCTATGCTGTTAAAAATCATTGTAAACCTACAGTATATGTAACACTCTGTATATATATACAGAATTCACTAACCTCGCTCCTGACACAGAGCTGCGACTGCCAGGGTTTCTTGTGGCCAGTGGTGGCTGAGCTGGAAGCGGTGGTGGTGGTGCCATCGTACCTGAAAAAAATGGCTTGCGAACATAACATATACAGTATTAATACGAAGCAAATTTGGGCCCAAGGATAGAGAACATGGGTCCCCATAAAACCAATGTGCCTAAACCTAACCCTAATTCTAACCCTAACCCTAACCCTAACCATAACCCTAACCTATTATATTGATATAATATTATATTTACATTGCTGTAAATGACATTGGTTTTATTGGGACCCATGTTCTCTATCCTTGAACCCAAATTTGCTCTCATTTTACTACTAGAAAGTCAAGTGTCTGTGATCGATTCTACGTACTACTACTAGCTAGTACAGTAGTACTACTACTAGTACTAGGCCTATCACGTGTAATGACATCGGCTTCAGCATTCTACGGTGAGAAGCTGAATGATCCTCACCCCAATATAAATATCACTGTTATTAGACTTACATTACCAATTTCTGCGTTGTTTAGAAACTATAATCATCCTTAGACGTCTACTCAGAAGAGTTCCGTGCACTTACAGCGACCGATCTCTTCCAAGACGCAGCGATAACACACACACAACAGACACAGAAAATTTTCACATTTTCATGAATGTTGACAGCCCCATCCTTGTGTAGTTTCACGTGACGTAATGATTTTGTGTCGTGACGTCATTTTTGCGGCAAATTCGTCGTGGCGCTTAGATTATGCATATAATTATGCGCTGATTATGCCTCACAGCGAATGGCGAATAACATTATCATTGGCGATAAACTGATCTATATGTAAAGTTAAACTATATATATATATATTATATATGTGTGTGTGTGTGTGTGTGTGTGTGTGTGTGTGTGTGTGTGTGTGTGTGTGTGTGTGTAGTGTGTGTGTGTAGTCGTGTGTGTGTGTAGCCGATGTCTGTGCGTGCGTGCGTGCGCGTGCGTGCGTGTGTGTGTGGTGTGTGTGTGTGTGCGTGCGTGCGTGCATGCGTGCATATGCGTGTGCGCGGCGTGTGTGTGGCGTGCATCATAGAAATAATATAGATAACGCTATATATATATATATAATATATATATATTATATATTATATATATATCAGGAGTAGATAATAGGGAATACGAGAATAATTAATTCCCTATTATCTACTCCTGATATAATATATATATATTATAGGTTATCTATATTATTTCTATGGCGTGCATATGCGCGTGCGTGCGTGCGTGTGACAGTGTGTTCATATATATCGATCAGTGACTCGATCGTGCTCGTCGCTGATTTGCGTCAGAGTCCACCCACACACGGGCCACACACTATCACTTGCACACTTGAAAGTTGAAACAGGCACTTAATTGGGCTATTTCAATAATAAAATTATTTTAAATAAACATAAATTATATTTACCACCAAATGGTTATGTATTCTCTATCGACTAATAATATCAGGAGTGAATAATAGAGATTACTCAATAGAGATATTATCTATTATTCACTCCTGATAATATACTATAATTCCACATAAATGTTGTTCAAATGCTTTTCTGCAACACATATATACAATCTCGCCGCACGAACGCCACTGCACGAATTCACTGCATGAAGAGTGTGTGTTGCAGAGAACATTCGAATCTCATTTACGGAGAATTATTAATAGTATAGTATATAGAATTATAATAGGCAGGAGCCAGAGGAGGGGGGGTCAAGGGGTCCGGACCCCCCTTTTTACCACAAAAAAAACGAAAAAAAACACACACACGCACGCACGCACGCACGCGTGCGCCCACACACACACACACACACACAATTTTCTTATATTGTCTCCATAAAAAAATCTTGTTTAGCGCTAGTTTTTCTGATAAAGATTTACTTATATATATGTAAATTCGTTATAAAAACACGGCCTCCATGACATACCTGTGGTGTAGCACTCCTGTGAGTTTTTACCATAGATCTTGGTTTTACTGGACCAATCTGGGTTTCCGTGGCGTTCCTTTTAGGGGGGTTTCCCCAAAATATGGCAGCATTTTGAAAGCCCGCTATTTTAAATTTAGCATCCGTCACCCTGCCAACCTCGAGTAATACCCTGGTTTGGACAGTGGGTTTTCGTAAATTTCTATACTTTCACATTATAATTTAGCTGACATCAAGTTGTTTGCTAAAATCTTGTTTCATACACTGGCACTTGTTCAGCAGCAATTAAGAGAGAAGGAAATCTTTTTGTTTTATGTGTCTAACACTGCAATACGCTGTACTATAGCTTTGTATACAAAGGTAGAAAAGCTAGACACCGGGGGGGGGGTCACTAAAAATAATAGGCCCCCTAGTGCGAACTGCACATTGGAAGACCCTACCCCCTATTGCAGACACAATTGAAGAATACCACCCCGGGCCTATTGCATACACACTGAAAATATCCCACCCCCTATTGCATACGCAATGAAAGAGTCCTACCCGTGGTCCTACCCACTATTGCGAGGTCTTGCAGACAAGTAGAGGGCAAAGAGTGGAGGGAATACTTGCAACGCTTGTTGCTGTCAACAGAGTGTCAACTCGCAAATCAAGAAGAACGGAAGGAAAAGAGAGATTATTTATCACGTTATGAGAATTTATTTGTCACAGCTGAGGGGGGCCTACTGCGGGCGCGGTGCTTGACTTGAACAATCCCGAGGGCTTATTGCAGGATTAGCTTTTATTGTAAAGAGGGGCCTATTTGCTTCCGCATGGGCCCGCTTTAGAAGTTAAAAAACACCCCCCTAACTCGCAAAATTTGGAAAGCACAAAGGGTAATAACGGCATATATATTAGTGACCCCCCCCCCCCGGGAGCTTGACGGAAACATAACTAAAAAGACAAGAAAAACTTTCATTTCTTGGAGGCGATGTATTAGAAGGAAGAAGCAGATTGAGAAAGATCGAATGTTGAGAAGAATGATGAAAAGACATTGCGGAAGACACAAGCAACAAAATAGAATAGTTTTAGTCTGTACTGTTATAGTTTGTACTTGGCAAGTCACTGTCGACGACATTGTGTGTGTGCCTCCACGGCACAAGTCACCAAACTGCTACATATGGTATGTTTACCAACCAGAAGTACAATAACTATATATAGTTATGTTACATATAGCCACTACAGGTTGTATACTAGTCATAACACCTATCCGCGTTAACGTCAGGAATATATTTGACAATCACAATTGAATTATTTAACTTGTTTGTCAATGCCAATACGTTTATACAGCATATGCATCATTGTAACAATCTAGAAGAAATTATAAGTACAATGTATAAGATTGCGCTCCGTAATCGTACTGGTCCTACTATGACAAAACCTGTCATTTTAGTATTTCTACTGCCACCTACTAATCATTATTTGCAAAACAGAATCTATAGCATAAACAAGTGCTGTACTACCACACAATATATTATTCTAACATCTTACTACGTACTATTTTTATTATTCATTTGACAATGGTCAAATACAAATCACGATAACAAAGTAGTTGCAAACAACTGCTTTTATGTAATAACAAAAAGTATTGGTTCAGTGGTCCCCGCTTTATCGGGATAAGTCACTATCGAACCATAAAAATATCCTGATTAAAGCTGCTCCAGCTCCACGAAAATAGTATTTTAAAGAACTTTATGTTAGAAAGGCAGAAGCACATGGCATTTCAATAAAACCATTGCATCTATGCTTGAACTAATGTGAATTCATCACGCCTGTCAAGGAACACGTGAACAGTACAGAACAGATGCTTATAATTCATCCTAGAAATGGTAATTTTAGTTCTAAAAAATATTTTGTGTTTAGAATTCACTGAAAAGCTGGACTTGCTGTTAAGTTGAAGATCGTTTCACAATGTTTAGATATGAAGGAAGTTTGTTTGACAAAAAATATCCTATTTAACCAAGGTGTTGCACCCTTTATCTGATTAAAAAGTAAGATGCATCCAGGGATTGTTTTTTAAAGTAAAGTAAATTAAGTGACGTGCCTGTTGATCTGAAGTTCGATAATGCAGGGACCACTGTATAATGATGGAAATAGTATAAGTTATTGACTTGACCCATATTCACACTAATGTTAGGGCAATAAACACAGGATACGTATAAATTACTGTCTACGTTTCTTTGCCCTGGGTAATCGTACGGGTCTGAGGTAAGGATTGTCGATGCTTTCTGCACTAATGCTTCCAGTATCGCTAGCTTTCTCTTGAGTTTGCACCTCCAAGTCTTCAAAGTTTTGATCTTTTGACAGCAAAGCATTCAGGTATGGTTGTGCTGAGCGCTGACATGCAATGAGCGGGAAGGCAGTGGGGTCATCCATAAACAGACCGTGTACGTTTCCAGTTTTCGCAATAAACTTTGTCAGTGCTCTTTCAACATCTCTTTTCTGTGATGCAGCCTTCTCTCTCACCTCTTCGTATTCGGTTGACACCTGATGCGTCGTGGGAGTCTTTATGTAGCTGTGAGTGTCCGGAAACGGAGGAAGGTAGTCCGGAATATAAGCGGGATGTGGTAGTTTTTCTCCTGTTTGCAAGGCACGAGTTATAGGAGGCTGTACTGCATGCGCAGCTGCTGATATTACGTATCTACTCGCTCCCGGTCGTCTCAGGTATGCTGGCAGAGAATGTATACTCAATCCCATTTCAGTCATTGCTAAACTAACATCACCTAGGAAAGGTTCTGTTCTGCCAGCCAGCTCTGCATATGCCTTAGAAGATCGGCCCAACTCAACCAGAATGCTTTGCAGCATCTCAACAAGTGTTTCGATTACCCCAGTTCCTGCAGAATCGAATCCATTTTCAGATAATAATGCGGACACAACTGCAAACAGAACTCTCCGGCGACACTCAATCGGATCGACGAACGCATCCTTTATCGCTGATGCTACCTTAATGCCTGCCATTCTGATAACAACGCTGCTCTCTAGATCTGAATAAAAAAGAAATTCATGATCTTAGTAAACAAAATATCTCAGACTGATACAGTAAAACCTCGTTATACCGCCACCATCGGGACTTGGGAAATATTGGCATTATAACGAGGTACAGAAATTGCAGTCTAATATCACCACTAAATAGCCCCCAGTTGCTAAAAATCCAATAAAAATAGATGATATATGTTTATATTTTATACAAAGTTTTAATGACAAATAAAAAACATTTCTTTGTTTTATAACTGAATTACGATTAAAATAAAAATATAGTTTCATGTTTGTTTCCGTGTTTTCTTTAGTACGGAGTTCAGCACAGGCTTTCATTTTTAAGGGGCGCGATCGCGCTCGCGCTCCACCGCGCACCATAAATTGCGCCATGGTGCGCGCATCATCGCGCCTCATAAAAGTGGTTGAAATCGCGCACCAAAAGTCTGTGTATTATGTTGAAATAGTGCTCCATTTTACCGGGATGAGAATCTTCCGCGGATCTCACAGTCCCAGGGTCGATTTTGTGAAACGTCTAAATCCGTTGAGAGAAAATTTTAGGGGGGTTAGAATGTACAAATTTTCATTTTATGTACAGTCCAACAGCCTACTAACAGTGTAACGTTGCTTTTAACGCTAGTGTGTTGA